TTTTCTTTCTTTCTTTCTCTCTTTCTTTCTTTCTTTCTTTCTTTCTTTCTTTCTTTCTTTCTTTCTTTCTTTCTTTCTTTCTTTCTTTCTTTCTTTCTTTCTTTCTTTCTTTCTTTCTTTCTTTCTTTCTTTCTTTCTTTCTTTCTTTCTTTCTTTCTTTCTTTCTTTCTTTCTTTCTTTTTATTCCATTACGGTTTATTATGTTTGAATTACCCCATTGGTGCGCCGCACTGGATTGATCCGGTTGAAAGGACTACGGTAGCTGATAAAAAAAAATAAGAAAACATATTACATATGAAAGACGCTGAAAATCTGAAGACCATCTATCGCCACATAACACGAGCAAGAATCTGCTGTTTTTTGGGGGGGGGGGCATTTTTTGCCATTACAAAAATTATGCACAGTACTGTAGCACATTACAACCCAAGACAAAAATAATTGACCCTCCCAAAAAAGTCCCATATTTTGCCGATCATTCTCGCTGTGGTTAAGTGAAACAAACAGAAAAGAACAAAGTAATATAAACAGTCAAATATTCCGCCTGTATTTCATATATTTATTATTGCTAGCATTGAATGATCAGAAAGTTATTTTATTCATCCATCCATTATCTGAAATGCTTTATTCTCACTCGGGTCCAGGCTGTGTCCTTCCTGATATATTTAGGGCATAACACAGAATTGGGATCTTCCTAAAAAAAAATACAGATTGATCAAAACCCTTTTTTGGGTCATGGCGGGGCATCGTTTTTGACTTTGGCCCCCAATCTAAACACCAACAACCTGTTGTATGGATTTTTTCCTGCTGGGTCCTAGTTGGCAGATAAGCCCGGCTGCGGTCAGCGAACTCTGCACGTTCTCACCAGTTCAAGCAGACGTAGCGCAGGTGTTTTTTTTTCATCCGGCAGGGGGGTCAGCTGTGCGATCGAGATCCTCGGGGCTGCAACGGAAATCCACTTTCACATAATTGGTCCGAAAATTCTTTTTCATTTTCTACAACTAATGTCTCTCTTTTCATTTATGCCAGTGTAGAACATTCAAATATTCTTCCAATAGACGGTGGTCGGTACATGAAACCTATGTAACCAACTGTTGCCATTCATAAAACAAGAATAAATTATGGCTTCTTGTGAGAATATCATTTAATTTATTGGTAAATTGAGGCAATATTATCATAATTTCAGTATTTCTTTTTCTTGTGACATTTTTGTTTGGTGCTGTGCCTTTACATTTTCCGAACTTGGCTCAATAAATGTTGGGAAACACTGCATCAAGAAATGCTAGGCTTGAAATCAGATTGCGAGCGAGCCGCACCATCTCATCGGAGGAATATAAACATTTGCACAGCCATGGCAACATCTTGTAAGAGTCTCTTCAGAAGAGTGGACGCTGTTTTTAGCTTCAATTTGCTCTTGCAAGTGTGTGAAAGCCTGGTGTGATAGCCTGGTGTTCCAATAGTTTAGACCAAAATTTTCTAAGGTATTAGCCAAGATGAGCATCTGAAAATTTGGTCAACTATGATATGCGGACTGCTACTGGAGGCCAAAAACAAACTTCTCGTGGTGGTTTTGTCAACAGGCATGACGTTGGACCCACATCCACTCACCTCTTTTGGGAAGAGGCTACTGGCAATGGACTTTGGATAGAAGGGAAAATATTTGCTTGTTCTCGATGTGTTTTTTTTTTAATGTAGAACAAAGACTATGTGGAAATGTACAATTTGGTATTTGTAATTTTGGCACTTCCTTGAAGTCATAGAAATGAGTAGTTTGTTTGAAATGTCCGTTCAGTGCATCTTCGTTTGTCTATGTATAATCAGAGTATATGACATTTTATTGATCTATTATATTAAATTACAATCAATAAATTTGATTAAAAATAAAAAAACATGGCAGAATCTGTTGGCAATTATAAAGAAATACTTTATTGGCAAGGTGAAAATAATTTTCCTGTGAAAAAATGTCCACAATCCTTTGTTAATTAACATTTTAAACGTTAAAAAAACAATGGCACTACAATGAACCGCCAAACTGTACAGTATCTCATAATGCCAAACGCCTTTGAACTCGCTCGCAGTCTTTTCTCAGACAGGTCAGGCAAGGTGACCTTGGCAAAATAGTTGTAAGTACATACCATTCCTCGGGTCAAAAGTTTGACTTTGGCGTTTGCATGTTCTCTCCGTGCCTGCTTGGTTTTTCTCCGGGTACTCCGGTTCTCTCACACATTCCAAAAACATCCATGGCAGGTTAATGGAACACTCTAAATTGTCCATAGGTGTGAGTATGAGCGTGAATGGTTGTTCGTCCATGTGTGCCCTGCGAGTGGCTGGCAACCAGTTCAAGGTTTACCCCACCTATTGCCCGGAGACAGTTAGGATGGGCTCAGGCACGCCACGCGACCCTTGTGAGGATAAGCGGCTTGCATAATGGTGGATGGATGGATGGATGGATGGATGGATGGATGGATCAAATTGAGATGGAGGTGAGCTGTATTAGTAATGAACAGATGCTCAGCACTTTCTTGGGGAAAAAGCAAAGAGTCAATGATAAGCTTGCATGAAGCTATACAGATTGTGAAAAGAACAAAAGACTAACTTCACTTGGGGTGCAACACTTGCCGCGATAAAAGATCCTTTTGTGTAGCCGAATTTCACCAAAAGTGATAACATTTTTATAGAAGTAATGAAATGTAACAATATATCACTGTCCAAAAAAAAAGTTAATTTGTTTATCTTTTGTACCTTGTCTTATTAACAGTGCACACATTGTCTCAGAGTAAGACGCTGTCAATGTTTTTAAGAGTTACATTGCACGACTTCTTGAAGCAGCCCCACTTTTAGCCTGATATGAATCTGTTCTTGCCTTGTAAAGGTGGCTAACCTTAAGAGTTAGAATTGCGCTTCTAGATCAGGGGAATTCAGAAGATACATATTCATGTACATATTGATTTCAATATAAAAGATTAAAGAATCAATTGAACTACACACAGCCTACAAAATTGGTGGAATTAATAAAAGGTGCTAAACTTCTGTTTTGGGGATTTTGATAATCCAACAATAGTCTTATTGCATAATTGCCTCTCAGTCATTTTTGGATCATTTTCGGAAAACAAGAAAAAAATTCCCACATTGTCATAGGAAGCGAAAAGCAAAAAAAAAAAAAAAAAACAAAAAACAAAAACCTTTCTACTTTCTACAACCAATTCTACAAGTTATGCTTGAAATTGTACTTTGTATGCCTAAGGTGTTTGGACTATGTCTTGAGTAAATTTACTTTATTTGCTCTCCACAATGGTTACTTGAGAGATTTTAAAATTAATATTTAACTACACTTTTCCAAAAATCCTAAAGTCAAACAAGTTATATTTATATGATTGTGGGGTTTTTTTTTTTTGGTTTTTTTTTTGGTTTTAAGCCTGAAGCAAACTCCAGCCACTGGTCACTTCCTATTTGCCTATCGTCATGTTTCACGTCACAGTCAAGGAGAGTTGCTCTGCCCAACTTGATGCTGATCACGCATGCAAAGACTTTCCATTTTGAATATTGAACAGGTTTAATATTTATGATTCACTGCAAGATCCGAGCAGGTCTGGGAGGGCAAATCACTCCTAAAACACCACACATCACAGGGTTAGCGCTCAAGTTTATCATTTTAGAGACATATCAGAACATGCTACCGGGCTCACAAGCTATAAAATTCACAAGGAGTTGGCCATTTTTGTATTGAAGCTACTGTTTGTTGTTCAATGGCTATTTCCAGTTGTACCTGTAAATTGGTTCCTCACTGAGGATTTCGACTATCGAGGTTCCATTGCATGTCCCAATCAGGTTCATGTAAAAATGAGCACTAAGTTTATAAGGGATTGTGATATTAGCTGACTTGTCCAAGCTATGTTTCAAGTAATTTGAGAGCTGCTGTTTTGAGTGGTTTTATTATTAGTAGTATTGTTAAACCATTTATTATCTGTTGCCGTTGCCATTGCTCCAGCGTGTGAAACTAGTGCCGCCTCTGAGAATCCGCTAGCTTGTGACACGCAGTACGCAAAACACAAGAGCAACCCCCCCACCCTCACCCAGGCCTTGACCTGAGACGGTGTGATTTGTTTGCCTGGCCGAGCTGCCATATTCTGCAAAGAGCGAGCTACCAAATCACAGGAAACATTTTGCCTTCAACTTTTAAGCGAAAGGTTCCTCATGGTATTTTGTATTTTCAGCCCATTGAACCGCAGAGACAAATAATACAACCGAAACAAATGATCAGACACAGCTCTAAGTGTGATACGGTGCATCACTGCAATGAAACTACAACCACAAAAATTTCTGTATCATTCAATGAATATTTTGGACGGGCAAAATGATGAGCGCCGCCCTACGTTGGAATTAAATCGCTCACTCCTGCAGACCCAAATGCAATTGAGCTCTTAGTCAATGTAAGTTGAGTTTTTCCATGCATGCGATATATCATTAGTCCAATAGCATAACCGCTAAAGTCATTCTAGCTTAGAGCAAATAAAATAATATTGAAGTGCTAAAAAACTGGGCGTTTTTTTTTTTCTTCATTATCTTGGTAATGGTAAGCCTCAAAAGTTGAATCGAGGCCACTGGATTCCGCTTATTTGCTGAATTTCTTGTTCTAAGAACAACTTTCAAAAATGACTTGGCCAATTATGGTATCATGCTCACAATATGTGATGAATAAAAGCATCAGTAGGCTTCGCTTACATTGTGTTGGACATTTCTTGTCAATGTTGAACATGCCTGTCTTTAAATTAAGTCAAAGAAAGTACACTTCACCTATGTTTCATTCACACAGCAAAATACAGTACAGGCTGCATATTCAGAATTCAACTTTCGCATATTTGCATATTTTCTGAGGGATCATTTCTCCTTTTACTCGCTGAAAACTTCACCTTTCGCTCTTTTTGAACTCTGGCCAAAGTAATGTAAGAATTAATTTTGCGGCATCTGGGGGCAATTTGGTATCTAGGATGTATTTGAAGTGAGTTGGGAAGTTTCATTTTGACTTTGGTGCTTTGCTGCCAGCTTGTGGCATCTAAACAATGACAAACCTTTTGAGAGTGGGCATTACTTGCAGATTTTTGGGTTCATATTACAAAGTAGGGCGTTAATTGAATAGTCCATCCATTTTATTTGTCCATTGTCCACTTTGCTTAATGTGTAACATGTGGTTCCTTCTCCATTAGAGACACTGAATTTTGCTGACAACGAATAATCCACCGAGCATCCGTGACACCTTTCACGATGGATCAAGCTCAGTCCGAGATGAACATCTTATCTAATGGCAAAAGTTACAACCTCGGTGATGATGTTGACGTACCAATGAAGACGTCGCTCGAGGATGATCAGTGAGTGTTTCTTGTACTTCACAAGCATGTCCAAGTGCATTCCCAAGTGTATTTTGTTCCATGAATTTGTCATTGCCAATGAGCTTTGTAACTGGTTGGGTGAGTGTGGACTAAATGCCTGTTTGCTTTTGTTTTCCATGATTGCATGTTTATTTTATTGCGTCAATGGGTGGATCCTTGCACAGAAATGGCACTGAAACAGTCAGGTATGACAGGTTTAAAGTGACTTTCTTTAAAATGTACTGTTCTTGGCTTGAATGAATCATAAGCTTTGAACTATGTTGGGAATGAAATAAGCGTTTCACATTCCTTCGAAATAATTACCATCACGTCTCACATTAGATTCGATGACCCCGATGGAGGAATGGAGAATGAAGAATTTTTGCCCGGTGCGGATGGAAAGAAACCAGTCCGATTCACAGATGTGAGAAAACACAAACGACTACATTCCGAGTTTGTTCATTTGTTATTGTTTTATATATATCTTTTTTTGCTTGTTTGTTGTATCAGTTTGAAGGGAAAACCTCCTTTGGTATGTCCGTCTTCAACCTGGGTAATGCCATTATGGGAAGTGGAATTCTGGGACTGGCTTATGCCATGGCCAACACTGGCATACTCCTCTTCTTGTGAGTAGTACCAAAGATATTCAGTGCCCTATTTAGGATTCATTTCATCTTGACAAAAATCAAGAAAAATCAACGTTCTCTAAACCTGCCTGGCTAACTTCAGCTAGCCATTGCAGGCAAAATGAGTTGACAATTTGTCTTAATGGTGAGAAAGGACTCCAGAAAATAGCATACAAACAACCAGTTTAATGGTTGCGGATATTCTCATGAAGCCATGTGGAAAAAGGTGTTTTGCATGACACACGGTGATAAACTACACTGGTCAAGAGCAAATTTTAATCAGTGATGGCTTGATAGGAATGTGTTCCTTCGCATATTTTTTAATGCTGTTTTCAATAATGTCTATTGTTATCTAGCTCATCAGGATTTTGAGATATTTTATCAATGTAATCTATAAAAGCTTGCACAATACGGATTGCACCATGCTATGTACTGCTATGACATTTTATTATCATTCTTCTTCTTCTTATTATTATTATTGTTATTAAAACCGGATATGCTAGAGAAAAAACTAGGACATATTTGGAATCAGCACCAAGACTTCATCTAGAAAAGTTTACTTGTATCACTGATTGAGAGAATTGGCAAAAAATTTGTTGACCAGTGTTATTTGTAACTACCCATTCACTGTATGTTGAATGGGTAGTTACAGCATCATATAGTTTTGTTACAGTACAACAAAAGCAGTAATATTCAATAAGTTTAAAGGCTTTAGAGCCCCACACATGAATGGAAATGCCATTTGTCATAATAAACAAGCGAGTGAACACACCGTTCTCCATTTCGAGTGAACACACCGTTCTCCATTCCTATTTGGTCAGAGGGTCCACCCACATCAAATCCCCTTTCTCAAGCCCTTAAGTCCAGTCAGTATTTCAGGCTGGGTGAAGGCCTTGTAAGCTCTGACTCACGTCAGATAGAGGCTAAACCCTGAGAAAGCGCCAGCATTTACATGTTTGGTGACGGTGTGTTTTCTCAATGGACAGTTGTTGCTGCTTCACTCACATTACCTACCTACACTTTATTAGGCACACCCGCAGGGTCTAATGAGATCCAGTACAAGAGATCAGCCAAAAATCTGTCGTACAAACACAACAAGAGCACTCAGAGAATGCCGAACTCAGTTCTATCCCATTGGCTTGTCTCGGGTGAGGCGTGGAATGTAAGTTTGAGGCCAAACATTGAGGTAGTAAAGATTCCATACAGGTTGATTATTATACATCCAAAGAGAGGTCAGGCAAACTTGCAGTTGTGTTTTTAAGCTTGCACTTGTGTCCTGTAGCTCACCCGGCTAAGGCAGACATTAGACTCTTTATCTATCCCACTCCTGCCACTTGGTGCACCCTGCATTCAAACAAACAGACAGGCAGACTAAATGACCAGCGGCTACCAAGGCCATGTCTGACAGCTGCACTGTGCACATGGTAAGAGGACATAAATGAGCAAATCCAGATCCCACATTAGGGCTGCAGGTTGGACTATTTTTGGGGCTGTGGCCTTTCTGGAGTCTGTGAGAGAGCATACATATAGGTGGGTTTATTCTAGGACATGATCTCTTCTGAGATGCTGGCAATTGTAACCAATGTGTCTCTCTCCGGCTCAGGTTTAGTGAGCCTCTGTTTAGAATAATTCCTTCCTGAGTCCAACTGTCCCCATGATATAAATATTTTTTTTTTTTATACATTAACAGCTTAACATCACGAGCAGAAATTAACCATCTAATATGTTGAAAACAACAAAATGCTTTGATCTTTAGTCGCAAATGTGCACTTCACTTTTTCTTTCAAGAAGACATATTACTATTGTTATTATTTAACAATTTAAAACGGTTCTCTGCTAACTTAGTAAAGTTGTCTTATGTTGTTTTATCATAATACACAAAGATACAGAGGAATGTTTCTTTTCCTATACCAAGCAGCTATAGGCCATCAAATGGAACGAGCACCTAGTCAGTGTTGCCAACTTTCTTCGGCTATATTTTCTAAGCCCTTGAGTGACTACCAGTATTTTTCTGTTCGCTTTTTGTTTTTGAGACTTGCGCCAGAGCCTGAGATATTTTCCTCTCCGCGACCAGACTGCAAATCGACGGTGCTTGTGCGTGGCCTGCACAGGCTAATTTAACCTTAGCCACCCACCAACACTCACAATCGATTTCACAGTCAGGAAGAACAATAAATGAACCACTAATGTAATCTGAAATGTCAAAACATAGTACATAAACATATGATGTTCTACTAGTGGCAGCTAGCTAGCTAGTGGCTAAAATGAGAAGCTAACATGGCAGTCAAAAGTTTTACTCAATGCCCATTTTTTTTCAAACGTCACAAACAGTTGGACTCAAATGCATGTCAACAATCACGAATTATCCAAACTGGCGTTTCACAAAAAAGCTCGTCAATACTAGTTGAGAATTATTGCGAACTAACAGCAGCTGAACAAAAATGGGGAGCTGAACAGCAGCACTTCTCAAACATGGCATGGAAAGAACTGGTAACGCTAGACAAAAGTAATCAGACACTATCATTAGAATGTGAATCTGTTTTCCAACCAGTTTATGAATCACGAAATGGACAAGGACAGCATATGTAACTTAATTGCATCATATTGCAGGTTTCTTCTGACTGCAGTGGCTGCCTTGTCATCTTATTCCATTCATCTGCTTCTCAAATCCTCTGGCATCGTGGGTAAGAATATTTTAGCCCTGCTGTTTATATCATTGAATATTCAAATGATCATCTCTCTTACCTCTGAAGAATGTTAAACAGCTATTTATAGAAATTTTCAGATGTTGGTTCTTTCACTTTTATTATACCCTCAAAAGCTTATAAGAAGGAGAATGCATATACTGTAGTGTTTTTTTAGAAAGATGGGTATGACAAAGCCCATCATCTTTACCCAAGAACACTTATGGGAGAAATGGTCCACGAATTGTAGGCAGTGACTCTGAGATATTGAGTGACAATTTTTTGGTTTCAGGAATTCGGGCTTACGAACAACTGGGCTTCAGGGCCTTTGGCACTCCTGGCAAAATGGCCGCCGGCATTGCAATTACTCTGCAGAACATCGGAGGTGAGTCATATCATATCATACTGGGCGTAGCTTTGGACTAATTGTCAATTAATTACATCATTAGCATTTTTTGGAGGCACATATCCCATTACGGGCGGTATGGTGGTGGACTGGTTACGTACGCCTCACAGTGCAGAGGTGCAGGGTTCAATTCCGACTTCGGCCTTCCTGTGTGGAATTTGTATGTTTTCCCCGTGCCTGTGTGGGTTTTCTCTGAGTACTTCGGTATCCTCCCACATTTCCAAGACATGCATGGCAGGTTAATGGAACACTCTAGTCCAGTGGATAAATGAATGGATCGATAGATGGATGGATATCGCATCACCCACAGTGTTGGAGATGTTCATGCCTGTTGCAGAGGGCTATAATCTGCTCAAATTAAGATGAACGCTACAAAACTGTGAGGACAGTTTTTCGCAGTGCAGGTGGATAATATCACTCTCAAAGCTCAAGAATTGAAGCCGCTTTCACTTTATATTCTTTAGTCATCAGGGGCCTGTTTTGGAATGTCAAGGAAAGCAGCATTGCATAAAGCTGCGGTGGGATAACTTTGTGCTGTATTATTTTTGAGAAATCCAACTCCAATGATTAAATGAGATTATAAATAAAAAATTTGTGTGAATTACCTTACATGCGAGATGAATTGTAATAAATATAGGACTCTTGATAACGGAGATGGTTAGTGGGCCTGATTGAAAATGGAATGGGGCTTTTGGAATGATGAAATAGCATCATTGACCCTAATATCTACCGTCGCAGATTTCACATTCAGAGTCTGCCAGTTATTACAGTGAGACGCACTCACGGTTGGATATTTTCTCTCTGTTACAGCCATGTCCAGCTACTTGTACATTGTGAAGTCTGAGTTACCTCTGGTCATCCAAGCATTCTTGAAGGCTGACCCTAACGCAGAGTGAGTAGCGGCATTAACAGCCCAACGCTTGTGACTTCACAGCTTGCCCAGTCAAGGGCCGATCAGCTGGCACTGGAGGGGTGTGATGAGAATGGAAGCTTGTAATTGAATGAGCAGGGGGGCGGGGCTTGTCTTGCTGTCAACTCATTTGGTGTAGCCGCAAGGTCAACTTTCAGTCATGCCTAAGTTGCTTTGCATCAGACCGCACAGCACTGCTCTGGGTTCCTTCTGCCTCTTCCAATGTAAAAACAAACATGCTCCAAAAGGACTGCTGCCACATAGCTTTGGGCCACTCCCATCCTTCACTTCCCGTGTATACTTAAAGCAACAGTACCAATGGATGAGAAGTAAGGATATACAAGACAGACACAAGTGTTGGGACACCTCGCAATTACACTTACACAAAGCAAAAATATGGTTATTTATGTTGGGTGTGAGAGAGGTGTTGGATGGTGTCGCGTTCTTTCATACCATACTCTCCCCTGTCGTCTTGCGCTAACCTGTTACCTTGTTATCACAGAAAAGCACCTTTTTCGTAAAGAAGTCTCACTGTTCTATGAAATCTTATTGATTTGAAGTTGTACTTTTTGCGACGCCGTGTCCACAAATACCCCCTAAATAAGTGTTACATGTGCAGTGGTTTCTTGAATTTCAAATAACAGGCACACATTGAAAAAAAAATGGTGTGTTGAATTTACTCAATTTTATTTTCGTGAAGTGGTTGCACAAAATGAAATCATCTTGACCCAGTTCCTTTTTTTTCAAGACGATGTCTATTCTACTCAAAAAATGTGTCTAGATTCAGATGATTAATAAGTAGATGTATAATCTATGGTACAGCAAAAAAATATCCTGATCCAGATGATTTTATTTCATGCAACTACTTGACAAAATCAAATTTAATATTTTCAACAAAATCTTTTTCTGTGCCAAATGAGGCCAGCGACAGTTCACAACAACAACAACAACAAATTAAATTGCAAACTCCCCCTCTAATTTATCATTAATTTTCTTTGGTGTTGACCAAGGAAATCAGTGGAGACTTTATTTATTTTTATACTTGATTTTAACAGTACACGAGTGATGCCCTCATGTGGGAAAGGACAGCCAAAGTCGCAGATTGCACTTTTCAGCTTTTTATTGAACTTTGATAGAACAGTAAACACACGTTGAGCACACTCACACAGGAGCTGCTGTTGACCACAGCTCATGCTCAGACAATCGTGACTTGCCATAGTTTGAATTGACCGATCAACCTCCCCAACCTACCAATCCCCTCTTTAAAGCAAACGTCTCACACACTGACTCTACAATTCACATTCTCTCTGCATTTTATGCTTACGTTTTTTTCACTGCAGGGTTCACTGTAGGTGAACGTGTCGAGTTCAGTGAGTTGAATGAGCTTTTACCAGTTACACACAAACAAGTGACAGCAGCAGATGGTGACACGAGGTCTTCATTCCGAGCGCGAGGACATGTCACCTCTGCGCCGCCCCTCATCGAAGGTTCATGTCCGCCTGGCGTGCCTCCCGCCGATCCAATCCATGGCATCGAGCAGCCAGCGCGGAACGAGGGGCGGAGCGAGTTGTGTGTGTTTTTTTTTTTTTTTTTTTATTTCCAGCCCGCGGTTCTTAAAATAGACTCCGATGACTTGAGGCTGACAAACAAAATGACGCCTTCCACTTCAGAAGTCATTAAAATATTATGATATAAATGTATATATAGCAGTACGAGATGCGAACACACTATTAGAGGTAAAAATAAAGTGGATTTTTATGTGCTTGGCCACACACACACAAGGTGAAGTTGAAATCGGGGGTGTGAACTTTCAATTGACTCTTCTGGCTCGGAAGCAAACAAAGTGTCACATTTCAGTTGGTTACATAAAGGCCCATTTCAAAAGTGAAATGTAAGAACACGCAACCGGGGTTCTTGTCAGTATGAGAGCTACGTTACAAAATACAAAAAGGAAGGCGCACATACGTTTGAAAGTTGCGTACACAGTTAGGTTTTAAACTGTTTGGCCGTTCTTTATACATGACAACAGTGTGATGATGCAAACTTTTGAACACGAGCTGACGTTACGTTACATGACATTAATGTCTCCATCTAAACACTGGAAAAAAGTATTAAAACTTCTATCGAAATGGTTTCATTAACACGTGATTGTTAATTTGATTTTCTGATTTAAAAGAGGCAGAATGGCTGAATTCGATTTAGAAATACCGAAGGACTCCCATGTTTTTTTTCACCGTTTGTCGAGCTACTCAAATGAACTATAACGGAACCCAAACTTTTCAAGTTGGACGTTAAAAATAATCAGCATCCAACTTGTCACCGTTAAACCTTGATTGACTCCTTATTTCAGCATTTTAACAGAAAGAAGCAAGGTACTGTAATCTTGATTTTAATGATAAACGAGTAAGTCAGAAAAAAATTGCCAACACTGCACCTCATCTCAGTTTGAACTGTAGAAGTGTAAAAAGAAGTTAACCAGTTATGTCATGTAAAATAATAGAATGTCAACGATGTCTTTGCAGCCTGTAGTTGCTAGTGCGGGTCAACTCCAACATCACACATGGTGATCCATCATCTGCCACATTTGTACATTTTTGCAGCATACTGTAACCATGTCAAAGAAAAAATGCTAACTCTTTCTGGGAAAAGAAACAGAACAAGTACTTTGAGGATAATGAGAGCTCCAATTTAATAAAAACTACAAGAAGACAGTTCAAATCCAACCCGATGACTGATTCTAAGAAGTGTCTGCCCAGTTTTCCTTAGGTGAGGTCACATATACACACAAGGAACATCAACACAGACATGAACACGGGAGATCACGTTGCTGCATGCACAGATGTCTTGCGTAGTCTCACAGCGGTGTTGATCCAATATTACAGAGAAAGAGAAACATCATCAGCTTTCTTATCATCACACCAAGACAAAACTTGATATGAGGTTATAATTCCATCAAATAAATGTTATCTGGCTTATATTTTTCTAACCTGCAAGAATTGTCTTGTTCTTTTGATCTGTCAACTGGTACACAGTACCTGAGCTTGGCTAAGTTTGATGTGAAAACTGAGCCGCAATGACCTGCTGGGAGGTTTTTAAAAGATGACATGACCTGTAATTGTTGGACTTCAAAAAGACGCACACACACACACACACACACACACACACACACACACACACACACACACACACACACAGATATACACACTTGGAGCACCCGTCCTGCTACACGGATGCCAACGATCGATGTTTGCACTTTACCATCATTGCCCCCTCGTGATGATATTTGTTTTGTTTGGCATGCCAGGTGAGGAATCTTTTTTGACGCACCATTAAACACATCGTTTGGACTGCGCATTGTCTGTTGACTGTAAACTGTTCTCAAGGGGTGTCAAAACAATGGAAGAAAGATACTGGAGGTCCATCCCACAAAACTGTAGGTCGGCCATGACGGACAGACACAAAGCAACATTGGCGATGAAAATTCTGTGTGAACAGGTTTACTTCGGTGGACCCTCCCAAGTCAAATACCCCCAAAATTGGAACAATTTGCAGTTCAACCCAAAATAAAAGGTTTCTGGCGGTACCAGCTCGAGGAACACATGCCTATATTATTTCCTATGGTTGAAATTAGGATAAGTCAATCAGCATTGGGAACTTCTATCTACTCCACATATTGTACATCCCTCAGGTGTTATGTTTTATGAATGCTATCAATGGAGAGCATGTTGGATGGGGGAGGTACATGCAGTGTCCACATTTAGTAGGTGGTGAGTCAGCAACACAGGATTGAAAGGGGGGCAGTGCCAACCTTGAAATTTTCAAATGCAATAACGGTCATGCATGTTTTAGGGGCTACGTGGCCTGCATAGTATCGTCACGGCAAAACTTAAACTTGCCGGATTTCACTGTTGGGGACTCAAATAAATCAATACGGTTGCACTTGCACAGTAAGCAAAATGATAATTGACATGACATTCAAAATCCATGAGCTCAAATAAGTACACTTTTTTTCCCCTCCTGTTCTTAATAGTCTTTGGTACTTGAATGGCAACTACCTGGTCATCATGGTCTCCGCCAGTGTCATCCTGCCCCTGGCCCTGATGAAGCAACTGGGTAAGTGGACACGCTATCCCCTTCCACATACTGTTTGACTTTGAAATCCGAAACTATTTTATTAACCCATGATTAGGGGCTAATACACTATGCAGAAATATCATAAAAATAGTCAGAATTGCGTAAATCACAACAAACATTTCCTCGTGTAAGGAAGCAGAGAGGAGTCGAGTGGCGTATTCGAGTTTGCTCAGTTTGGTCGAAACACGGTTTTCGGTCGTAATCCGAGGCGTAAAAATGTCGAACTTTCTGGTTGAAATCCGATTTGGTCGATAACAGAGACTGAGTTTTGACGATATCGCCTATGTTACTCTGTCTTCTTTCAGGTTACCTTGGCTATACCAGCGGATTTTCTCTCAGCTGCATGGTGTTCTTCCTCACTGCGGTATGTTGACCGAGGAGGGAATGGTGGAGGGAAATTCACAACAAATGTTTGATCCACGAATGGCACACTCCATTTGCTGGTTCGGCTAGAAATTGTCTTGAAAACGGTCCTTTTCAGGATACTGTTCAATGTTGTCACAAAATGTCATCGGAGGGTTGAAATAGAGATAAACAGATACTGGAAGAGTCACAGAAAGGCATAGAGATGGATGTCCTTCTCAATGTTTCCGATCAGCTCCTTGTCAAATGAAGTTAACTTGAAAAGCTTACAATGTGATTCAGGTTGTAACGTTTGTGTGTTCTGCTAACATAGTTGCCAGTGTAGTTGTGCGTTTTGCTAAGTTCGGTCGCGCACCACTTCTTTCTGTCATGAGCCCCATTCATGTCATGTCAGTGCCCTTTCAAATACCCTTTCTCTCCTTCAGGTCATCTACAAGAAGTTCCAAATTCCGTGCCACTTTGAGGAGTTCAACTCGCTCAATCACACCACGGCCCACCCCAGCCTGAACGTGTCGAACCACGTTGGCGATCACCTCCTGACTCGCGAAGAGGACGACGCTCTTTGCGCGCCGCGCATGTTCACCCTCAACTCACAGGTGAGCCCACACACCTGAGATGGAAGCAAGGTTCATGAAGGCATTCCTGGATGGGTTTAATGTGGAAGAACTTCCATCAAGCAGCTTTAAAATGAACAATTCATATTATTATTCCTTGTTCACTTCCTGTAGGTGTAATGTATTGTGTGCTTCTCCAGACAGCCTACACCATCCCCATCTTGGCTTTCGCCTTTGTTTGCCACCCTGAGGTCCTCCCCATTTATACTGAGCTCCGCAAGTGAGTTGCTTGTCTCTAAAATGCACACATTAATCATTTTTAAATTCAAACTACATGGCACTTTTGTTTTTTTTGCAGCCCCACTAAAAAGAAGATGCAGAAGGTGTCCAACATCTCCATCTTTGTCATGTACACCATGTACTTTCTGGCAGCTCTCTTTGGCTACCTAACCTTCTATGGTGAGCCCTCATATGTGATTCCAAATCATATCCACACATTGATTGTTTTGTCGTTATTAACAGAACGTATACGGTGCTACTTTTACAACAAGAATGTCAAACTCATTTTTGTCATTGGTCGCATATAGTGAGTTATAGTTACAGTGTGTTCTGCTAACATAGTTGCCAGTGTAGTTGTGCGTTTTGCTAAGTTCGGTCGCGCACCACTTCTTTCTGTCATGAGCCCCATTCATGTCATGTCAGTGCCCTTTCAAATACCCTTTCTCTCCTTCAGGTCATCTACAAGAAGTTCCAAATTCCGTGCCACTTTGAGGAGTTCAACTCGCTCAATCACACCACGGCCCACCCCAGCCTGAACGTGTCGAACCACGTTGGCGATCACCTCCTGACTCGCGAAGAGGACGACGCTCTTTGCGCGCCGCGCATGTTCACCCTCAACTCACAGGTGAGCCCACACACCTGAGATGGAAGCAAGGTTCATGAAGGCATTCCTGGATGGGTTTAATGTGGAAGAACTTCCATCAAGCAGCTTTAAAATGAACAATTCATATTATTATTCCTTGTTCACTTCCTGTAGGTGTAATGTATTGTGTGCTTCTCCAGACAGCCTACACCATCCCCATCTTGGCTTTCGCCTTTGTTTGCCACCCTGAGGTCCTCCCCATTTATACTGAGCTCCGCAAGTGAGTTGCTTGTCTCTAAAATGCACACATTAATCATTTTTAAATTCAAACTACATGGCACTTTTGTTTTTTTTGCAGCCCCACTAAAAAGAAGATGCAGAAGGTGTCCAACATCTCCATCTTTGTCATGTACACCATGTACTTTCTGGCAGCTCTCTTTGGCTACCTAACCTTCTATGGTGAGCCCTCATATGTGATTCCAAATCATATCCACACATTGATTGTTTTGTCGTTATTAACAGAACGTATACGGTGCTACTTTTACAAAAAGAATGCCAAACTCATTTTTGTCATTGGTCACATATAGTGAGTTTATAGTGAGTTATAGTTACAGTTCCTCACAGAGGGCCATTTTGAGTGTGAAAGCATACAAATGCAATAAAACAAAATGTGTAAACAAATGTTTAATCTCCTCATATTATTACAGATACAGATGTTCAATGACAGTTCAAGTTCCTATAAAATAGGGTCTTAAAAACAAAAGTCATTTTTTATTACATCACAGAAACCTGGCATTTCAACTTAGTGGTTTCTACTTATATACTTACATCAACTGTAAATATAAGATTATTGTACACCATGTACTTTCTGGCAGCTCTCTTTGGCTACCTAACCTTCTATGGTGAGCCCTCATATGTGATTCCAAATCATATCCACACATTGATTGTTTTGTCGTTATTAACAGAACGTATACGGTGCTACTTTTACAAAAAGAATGCCAAACTCATTTTTGTCATTGGTCACATATAGTGAGTTATAGTTACAGGTCCTCACAGAGGGCCATTTTGAGTGTGAAAGCATACAAATGCAATAAAACAAAATGTATGAATGTTTAATCTCCTCATATTATTACAGATACAGATGTTGAATGAGAGTTCAAGTTACTATAAAATAGGGTCTTAATAACAAAAGTCATTTTTTATTACATCACAGAAACCTGGCATTTCAACTTGGTGGTTTTTACTTATATACTTACATCAACTGTAAATTTAAGATTATGAATAACACATTTTTTAATGAATAAAAAAATGTGTATATATGAATATACATGAATATTTACAACATTTCTGAATGTATTCCTGCAGGCAACGTGGAGCCAGAATTGCTTCACACTTACAGCCGCATTGATCCTTACGACACTTTGATCCTGTGCGTGCGTGTGGCTGTCCTCACCGCCGTCACACTCACCGTCCCCATCGTGCTCTTCCCCGTAAGTTTCCACTTTCTTCCGCTTGGAGGCTACCGTACAGCACAGTAATGTGGCTAATCTCATTTTGCCTGGCCGTGTGTGTGTGTGTGTGTGTGTGTGTGTGTGTGTGTGTGTGTGTGTGTGTGTGTGTGTGTGTGTGTGTGTGTGTGTACACAGGTGCGCAGAGCCATTCAGCAGATGTTGTTCCCCACCAAGGCTTTCAGCTGGCTGCGTCACATCGCCATCGCTCTGGTTCTACTCATGCTTATCAACATGCTGGTGATTTTCGCCCCCAACATTCTGGGCATTTTCGGAATCATCGGTTAGTACATATTATTCAAAGCTGTTTCGTACTACAGTACTATAAATATCGGCTTTCACCTAAGTGGAAGCTCTATATTCACAGGCCACATTAGGTACACCTGCACAATCGCTCTCCCTTTTCTTTAGTGCTTTTCTTTATTAGGCTCACAAGTGAGCTGTAACGTCCCAAGTGACTCTGGTAAACCTGGATTGGTCACCAGCCACTCACACTGGTAACGAGCAATCATGGCTCAGCCTCAGAAAACAGGTGAGCCGTGATTGGTCGTTACCTGAGCCCTGAGCAACTGTAATGTCATTTTCAGTTGACAGGTCATGGCAAAATGGCCGCCGCCTGTGATGGCCGGTTGGATTTTGCGCCGTAACTCATATTCCACAAATGCGATTTGAATCAAAATGCAGTGTTTAGAATAGTGAAGTGCATAGAACATATTGTGAAGAAAAATAAATAAATAAATAAATTGGGTGGGGGGGGGGGGGTTGACTTCCCCTTTAATATCTTTGCAAAGGTACTCTGTAATGTATAATATACAGCTGTATCAATAATTTAGGATTATGACTTGCTTACTGTGTCTGTGTTTACAGTCTGAACCTACATTTGACATTATTCTACCCGTTCAGTACCCCTCTGTGGAAATCAAAAACGTGACCACTGCATGTTGACAGATAAAAGGGAGAAGGAAAAAAAAGTCAGCCAAATGGAGTCAATATTACTGTGCCACTTATTTCACGGAATTGGGGTCATCTTTCTTTGGCCGGGTGAAAGTTGAAAGCGTTTCCGTTTACATACTGTACTGCCAAGGACGTTTTCAAGGCAGCCGATAGCTTGACAAACACGCAGGGGTACAAACATAGAGTGCCTTTTAACATATATCAGTGGTATAGCGGGATAGAAGCCGAGTTACCTGTCAACAACAATACTGGCAGAGAGACGACCTTGAACACACTTTGACCCTTTCGGGTCATCAGCGATAATACAGGCAATATTTGCGTTGTGTTGGGTGCACTGAAGACCACTATTGATGTCCTCACAACACATTTGGAACACTTTTTCCAAAAAAAAGAGTGGTCAAAAAGTATCAGGATGTACCAAATTAATAGACTTTACTCCGAAAAGACTTGAGGGTTGTCATTAGAGCAATACTTTTAGGGGGTGCACACTTATCCAACCAGCTTGTTGTTCATTTGTTATTTGTTTTTGTATTTGTCCCACTTTTTTCACCCACACTCTCTTGATTAGAATTTGCAACTTTTTGTGGAATACGTTTCACAATAATTGTAAAATGTCATGAATTTTGGAAACTTTCTATGCGAACTCACCTTAAACAAAATAACAAATTTGTACATTAAGTGATCTACTCACCACTTCAAAAAAATGTCAACCCAATCTGCTGAAAGTCAACAGCTACCCAGGAAGTGGGCTAGCAAAGCAACCCGGCTATTTTTTAGTGCGCACATATTGAGACTGTGTGAGTATTACTAAAAAACCTGCCTACAGTGCTGAAATACTGTGCTGCTAATGTTTGTTGCACACATTTGTGCTTCATATTTCCAGGTGCCACGTCTGCTCCTTGCCTTATTTTCATCTTCCCCGCTGTCTTCTACATCCGCATTGTTCCCAAAGAAAGCGAACCCCTGAGCTCTCTTCCCAAGATCCTGGTGAGATCATTTCGACCTGTTCCACTATCTCGATCGTGTGATGCATTGATGCTATTCCCAACTTTTTTATTATAGGCCGCCTGCTTTGCCGCCTTGGGTGTCTCCTTCATGATAATGAGTCTCAGCTTCATAATAATCGACTGGACGTCGGGAAGCGGCAATGCCGGCGGGGGCCACTAGAACCTGCGTGAGTGTGTTTGGGGACGGAGGAGCAACGAGAATTAAGAGCTGGCACGTAAACATGCCAAGCAAAATGTCACACTTGTATTGATGGAGCTGAAATAACGTTTTACTGCAATGTTATTTATACACATACATTCACTGGCCACCCGATTAGGTACACCTGAGAATGCGCAGGCATCTAAGCGGCATTGATCATTTTATGATTCTATGGGAGGAAAACTACAATGCGTCACATTAACAGAAGTTTTCACACACCCTAGTTGGATCCAGGGCACTTAACCACAAATACTGTAATAAGCATATTTTTAAATGATCACCTCTTTTGCTTTTATTATCCTTGCCAACGCAAATGTTTTGCGACAGCTCTAATTTGACTGTGGCCAGTGAGTGTACCAGAGCAGAAATAATGCTCTTTAATTTCATGAATTAACTCATGCTGCGATCATCTTTGCGCTAATCCAGCCACGTTACCCACGAACAACGGCAGCCGGTACTGTAAAAACAAACATTGTATACATTTCTAAAGTGTCTAATTAAAAAAAAGAAACAAAGGCTAAGTTATTCTCTCGCGCTGAAGTCGAGGAAAGACATTCAAACAGGAGTGTCTACTGTCTATTTTATAGAACTGCTGTCTTTTTAAATTCAAAAGAACTATATTTAACTACTCGTCAAGTTATATGCTCAGAAGCATTATGTATGATTTAGTTTTGATGAATCTTACGTCAACATGACTATATATACACACACACACACACACACACACATATATATGTGTGTATATATATATATATATTTTTTTTTAACAACTGCTCATCACTCTTTATACAACTATGATTACACAACTACCTGTGACGGTATACTGTATAGACAGTTCTGGACAAAATTCTTTATTACCCGAGTCAAATTTTGAGTTTAAAGTGAAATCTTAAAATGTTGAATCTTTTAAGTGGGAGTGAGATAAGAAAATGCCAAACGACTATAAGATGCAAAGAAAAAAAACTCCCAAGATGTCCAAAATTTTTCAGAGTCAACTAATCCGTTCAACGGTAGTTGCTTTATGGTTTGTACTTTTTTTTATGCTGTCTACAGACAAAGCGATATTGTAGTTGTTCATACTAATGATGTCCTCGTGAGGATAAGCGGAGTAGAAAACTTTTCATTTTTGGGGGAAGTCACTTTCTTGTTTCATTTACAGCTAAAAGACGAATTCAACTACTCTGTAAAAAATGTAATGACGGTCTGAGTCATGGTCTTAACTTTGACTCAAATATTCTACTATTCACAAGTAAGTCCCATTTATGACCTCTAAAATAAGCATTATGGTCTCTCAGATGTGAGAGATAAATCAGACATTTTTTGAAGGGAAGGATGAGTGAGTGACAAAAGCATCCCTTCAGCGAGCACGTGTCTGCTAATAGTCTTGATTTGTTGTTGATGCTGTGGTTTGAGATACATTTTAAGATCAAAATTCCATTGCTTTTCTCTTGAAGTGAAATCCTTTCCACAATAGTGTTTTTGGTATCCCTACTCACCTGATGTCGATGATCACCTGTTCATCTCAAACGTAATTAATTTCGGCTTGTGGATCATGTTATCATTGGGGTGACATAGCGCTAACAACATGCATATACTGTATGTACTGCTTTTGCTGATTGGAGTTATCTTTTTTTTCATGGGAATACAGTACATACAATAAATATAGTTTCAAGTGTAAATGAACAAAGCAAATGAATGCATCTCATTTTTGTAAAGATCCATTTTCCCCCCAGGATATACTGCTTGTGTCCAAAAAAGATTTTATATTCAGATGCCAGATTTTATTTATGTATAGCAAATCTATTATTTGTAGCTCTAGCCATTTGGATTCATGCTATGAAGATATTTTCACAGATCAATTTTGAACAACTCAAGGAAATCATTGTCTGTCCCTTACAATGTATTTGCAGTGTTTGAGTTCAGTCCTGTGTTGTGCAAGAGAGTTCTTTATTTGAAGGGACAAAACCAAAACGACAACAAACTACCTACCGCTTGGGAAAAAAAAAATGCCTTTAACCTTTGAACACAGAAATGCTGCAAGGTCAGTGAATAGAAAATGTCAAACATGCAATTCCTGTTCCTAAATATGTTTTTGTAGCTGACGTTACGATACTCTCGTCTCTGGAAGTGACACATAGTTTATGAATAGCTTTTGGGGATTGAGACTTGGCTTTATGTTGATGATGTGTATAAATGTAAACATTTTCTATTTGTGAGGCATACTGCATTTGCCATAGTTAAGTGTCAAGTGTAAATAGCAGGCTTTAGTTTGACAATAAAATATAATGGTTAATGGGGTTGTTTTTTTTCATCACGGCTTGTGTCATCTTTTCAGTCTTGTACTCCAACTTTTTTTATTATTGATGATATTGATGATGATAATGATGATGACAATTACTGCGACCGGAACTACTATTACAGTAATACTAATACTCTAAATTTTCATTTGTCATTTACTCAATACTCCTGAACCCCAAAAAAATCAGAACAGCAATTTGAATCTCGCTCAGATTAAAAATGATAGTCAATATTTTAACCCTTTAATGCACCCTGTAACCTGATAACATGATAAGCTGTTCACTGTAGTAAACACTTTCCCTGAAAGGATTACATATAATTACACTTGGTCCATCGTACATTTTAGAACATTGACAGTTATGGAAAATATCTCAGAGGTACAAAACAAAAGCTGCACAATACAAAAACGTTCTGTTTATACAGAAACTGCTGGTCTCAATTCATTCTAGATTTTTTTTTTTCTGATTACAATGTTCTCAATTTAGTTTTGCCAGTCTTGCCGCAGTTACTTTGCAAAAGTTACTTAGTTACTTTAACGAACTTGCTTAAACCACTGCGGTGGTGGTGGAAGAAACTACTGTACTCATTGAAATCCTGGCATTGCCTTCAAGTACAGACTGCAAAGTAACATTTTGTGATTCTGAAGAGTAACTCTAGCCTGATAACTAGACTGGGAAAAGTCACACGTTCGATCAGTCGTTACCGAAAATGTACACATCTTGGAGTAACGCATTAACGGCATCACTGAGTTTTGAGTCTGTTGCCTCACATTCGGCATACATTGATCTTTATTTAAGATAGGGTAACATTTAGTCCCACAATGGGGAAATTTGGACATGAATTCAAACACTCATTTTATTAGCAAAAAAAATTAATACATATACTGTACTACTGTATACCTGTACTGTATTATCAACTGAAAGTTAAAAAGCGGCTTCATTTAATCTATAATATCGAGTTAAATAAAAACAATACTGTAGCTGTAAAAGCAAAGTGTGGAATTAATACGCGATTCGTACTGTAGTGGGTATTTCTGATTGAGAAACGGCCGAGATCGGTCTTTTGGCAAAAGTAACCTTGAGTGGTAATCTATGGTTTTCCACTAGAGGCCGCTGTTTGTTAACTTCCCGTTCTTTCTTTGAAATAGCCGTCTTCCGTCAGAAAAATACTCAAGCACAAACCTGCCTGAAAAATCGACCCAAGTGAAGTAATGAAATATTTGTACTTCCTTACCTCATACCGTTGCTACGTTATTGAAATGTACTTCAAACGAACGAGTCAAATCAGACATTGCTTTATTTTAATGGATAAACAGAAAACTGGCCTCCGACAAAAATAAAACTCAGAACATAGCTCGCTAGAATTCTGAAAAAGACTGATGTTATTGAGTTAAGACATCGATCATTTTCATGTGTATGTGTGTTTCGTGTCATTGTTGTTGGACTAGTTCGCATTCCTGTTCAATGAGAGCGTCAGTTTGATTGAGAATGTGTGTCGAGGCCTCCGGCATAGTCTGCTAATTGCCCAGAGTGGGGATAGGTTAAAAGAAAATGAAACCAAGATTGAACATTTCAAAAATTTCAACCAATAACCTGTATGACATAAATGAAAATGAACGAATCATTAAGAGAAGGACTGTAAAAAGAAACAACTGAGGTAATATGAGGGTCACTGTCAAGTGAACGAACCTGCTCGTTATTTCTTTGTCCGGATCGGATCACATCAACCTGCCCTTTTTGCGGATCAGCCAGTCAGATGACCTCTGCCACGAATGTGCTCCCTAGTGTTATGTCATCAGCGTGTGTATATTTAGTTGAGTGTCTTCCTGTGCCCGCGAGTGGTCTCGTGGCCTTGTCACATGACATGTTGCCTGTTGTGGTGAGTCATTGTTTTGGGGTTATTTGGGTTATTGAGTCATGATTCTGCTGCTCAAGTGATGTTTTTGTTTTGCCTTTTTGTTCATAAATACATGTTTGAATATATCCTGTCTTGCCTCCCCTGCGTCCCAGCACTTGGGTCCGCCGACCTTGTTTGCCCTCGCTCCACCATAACGTGCTTTGAATCAAAGACCAATGTGTTCAAATCAAATTTATTATTCAACGAAACACGAGACAAAAGTTGTTTTTTTGTCTTTCAACCATCCCATGTAGACTTAATGTTTCTTACAACTATGTTTAGAGGAGCCTTTTAAATTAAAAGGGTTTTTAATTCAGCTCTTCATTGGAAAAGATTGGGATGAACAACATGCATCCCCAATATACATCCATCAAGTCAAGTCAAGTCAAGTTAGCTTTTATTGCCAAATATGCTCTATGTGGAACATACAGCACAGATGAAATTAATTTCCTCTCTCAACCACAGTACAAACATGTAATGCTAAAATTTACGTTAAAATTCCATAAGACATAAATCTATAAATATGTTAAATAAAATGAAATAAACATCCATCCATTCATCTTCTATATACGGATTAGCCCAAGCGTCACCAACATGGTCTCCGCATGCACCACGTTACCCGTGAGAACGGCATAAGTAGCCCCCAGGAGCTTTTCATAAAATAGCTCACCAGTGAGAGGACATTATGATTATTTATTTTATTTTTTTTAGCAATGTTGTCAAAATGATCATTTTAAAAATGTAAACACCGGCAGAGATGTATGAAAAAGAAAGTATTGCACATATTTATTCTACCTATTTTTTAATTGGTGAAACGTCATTAACATACGTGACCAATGTCTGAAAATGAATATCATTATTTATTCATAACAACACATTTTTAAAGGTAATTGGGGTAAATTTGTTATTTCTAATCAGTATATAAGAAGTAGCTCACACTCTCAAAAAGGTCGGTGACCCCTGGCTTACCCTGTTCATTTTCGCAGGTACTGCAGTTCCCTCCCATGGAAATCATGTATTTATTTTTCATCTTTCGGTTTTAGTTTGTCAATAGATGCAATTATGAACGGTTGTTTCCATGTCACCGAGTAATTAGCGTTTGCCCTGCAACTTTCTGGGTTAAACCTGACTTCAGCAACCTTGTGTGTTACAAGCAGGAAAGAAAATGCATGTATTTTTTTTTTTTTTGTTCCTCGTTCCTTACACATTCGTGAGCAGCTGATAGACAATTCAAAGAAAAAGAAGATTGCTCAATACTAAATAGGAAACTACAGAGATCAACGCTTGATTGCACTTGTAAACTTGTCTGACTGCATTTGTGTTTCAGCAGAACTTGCTTCTGTCCAAACACTAAATGCCACCGGTGCATGACGTGGCTGCTTTCCTACTCTTCCTTCTACTATGCTCAAATATTCTGTCCTGTTCCATTGTATAAACTGACTGCATTTATTTTATATTATTTATGATATTAGATAATAGTTAACAAAAACTAATGAAATAACTAAAGGCAAAATTGAAAAAACATTTTCATTAAAGATGTCAAATGTAAAAATGAGTGATTTTTTTTTACTAGCTGAAAGTATATTTTACCTTCATAAAACTCACAAAAACTGATGGTATCTAATTATATAAATATTATTTATCAATTAATTTCATTCATGAGCTTTTGGGGTTGATTTTAAATGTATTTTTTTTTTTTTGGTGGTACTGTACAGATGTACAGAATTGAGAAGGTTGAACAGTTGTTTGGGAGTTTTACTTTACACAGTATTCAGTGGCTTTTTTTTTCACTTAACCAATACTCCACATGTGGAAAGAGACAAAATTAATACTAAAACTAAAAACTAAAATAAAAAAATAACTGAAAAAAATAACTGATAAAATCGAACAAACCCATTCTTAAAACAAATGAAAAGTAACTGAATAGAAAATACAAAAAAATAAAAACTAGTTAGAGTCACACTAACACCAAGAGACAATTTAGAGTGTTCAATCAGCCTGCCATGCATGTTTTTGGAATGTGGGAGGAAACCGGAACACCCGGAGAAAACCCACGCAGGCCCGGGGAGAACATGCAAACTCCACACAGGAAGGCCAGAGCTGAGATCGAACCCACACCCTCTGCACTGTGACGTCAACACGCTCACACCGGACCAACGGGCCACCCTTAAAAATAAATAAAAAATTTGAATCTTTTCTATTCCGGCATCATGGTGAGTGACTGGCTAGCATTCCGGCCTCATATTGCAGAGGCCCGGGGTTCAATTCCAGCTCCAGCCTTCCTGTGTGATGTTTGCATGTTCTCCTCGTGCCTGCGTGGGTTTTCTCCATGTACTCCGGTTTCCTCCCACATTCCAAAAAACATGCACGTAGGTTAATTGATCCCTCTAGATCAGTGGTTCTTAACCTTTTCTGAGGTACTGAACCGAACCAGTTAATATGCGCATTCACCGAACACTTCATTCGTAAAAAATAAATATATATATTTTATACAAATTCAAGATATTAAAAAAACACATTTACTAAAAACAGAAAAAAGTAAATACAATTTCAAGGGATAAGTACAAATATATATATTTTTTAACGTATTATCACGACAGTCACACCTTGACTAGGAAGCAAACTTAATTTCCCACAACACTGATTGGACAAGCAATGTAATGTGATCATTGGCAGCCAGTGATGGCCAAGTGGGCGTGTCATAACTAATTGACATGTTGAGTCGTGTG